AGGGAACTGTGGGATGCAACTTCCAAATTCGACTGCGTTTGATTTCAGTCATAGCCAATCAATGGCTTCGTGTAGCGGTGGACAGGACATGCGTGTGCGCACAAACGGACATACAATGCAAATGATGCCAAATTTAAAACCAGAAAAGGATTCACCCATCGATCATTATGTAAATCATACCCCTGGTTCGGATCTTTCGTCCCAGCCGTCTCCGCAAGACGAAGGAATCGAAGTTTCGCCAGATCAGAAGATGAAAGACATGGATTCAGACCACAGCAAAATGCCACCGAAAAAGCGGCCATGTTCGATTCCAGATAAAAGTAAAGATGATACCTATTGGGATAAGAGGAAGAAAAATAACGACTCGGCCAAAAGATCGCGAGAGGCCAGACGAATGAAAGAGGAGCAGATTGCATTGAGAGTTGTCTACCTTGAACAAGAAAATCTTCAGCTGCGTACAGAAGTGTCGTTATTGAAGAGCGAGATTGAAAAGTTGAGGTGTATGCTGTATAACTCATAGACTCATTTTATATATTTGAAAATTTACCAGAAAAAAAATGAAAGAGCTAGATTTGGATGAGACATCTGGGCATTGATTGGACCAAATCAAATGTGACCTTGGCATTGATTGTACACAATTGGAGTTACTGGAAAAGTCTGTCTAAATAAAGGGAAACAACTCATCCAAACTAGCTCTTTGAGATACAAATGAGAAATAATAATATATTTATGCAAGTGAAAATGTGTTGAATTAAGGGATAATGTCATCTAAATATTGACTTTACCAGCTGATAGAATTTCAACTATATAGCAAATTTTTAGATGAATTTATCCCTTTAATTTTTATGATATATGAATGTGTTACAAGACAGTTGTGATTGTTGTAAAAATGAGATTATAACGTTGGTTTCATAAACAATTTGATTCAAATGCAGACCTTATTGTTTTGTTTTGTGTTTTTTCTAAGGTTTACTCTACTAGCCATCCCTGATCTGTCAAAATTGCTATGCATCTCTTGTTCACTGTCATTTAATTGCTCTGTTCAGTAACTGATTATGATATTGTCAGTCCACTGGCCATTTTGAGGCCAAACTCCAGACAAAATGACTTGTTGCAATTGCAAGTAACCTCCAAAGAAATCACAAAACTGAAATACACGTTTTCATTCAAAATTTTGACAGTCCATTGAAATGCAAAAGTCTTGAAATAGACCAATCAAATTGATGGACTGTCGATGACAAAATCCAATGGAACATGATCAATTCGTGGCTACTCACGACAACTGATTTTTCAGTCATTGGTAAGCCAAGGTTGACAAAATCCCAAACTCAGTCAGTTGCCAGCTGTTTTGAAAACCCAGTTGCTTTCAGATTCTGTCAGTCCTTGTGTATCTGTTGAGCTGAGCCTGGGTAGAAGTTGATATCTCCTTAACTTGTGTATAATATGAATTGTATAAAGTTTTAATATATCTTTTTATAGTATATAATCTAATCAAAATTAGATATCAATCTCGTTCTTTTTTTGTCTGATAATTTTCGTTTCAAAAGAGAAACCTAGAGTAGAGTATCGAAATGGACAATTTATAGTGAATCTTTCCAATTATTTTTTAATTCATCCAAGTTTGGAAAAAATATTTTGGAGTAACATATATAACTTTCAGTATCAAGGTCTTCCATTTCTATTTTCATTTGTTTTAAGTTTTTGAAATTTGTCGTCTCATAAATGATAATTCTATTCGATAATTTTTGCTGAATTTTTGCAATTTGTTTTTTTTTAAATCTCAGGGATTTTGTCAATACTCAAATAGAAAATTTAATAAAAATATGTAAAACATGTATTTTATTTTTGTAATGAAATGGAGTTTTACATCCTAATTTTCAACAAAGGTTTGCTTTTAAAGGAAACCCCACAAAATATGCCTTCCATTTTGTGATGAAGGGTTAAAGGGTGAAACACTCCATTTTAGATTGAAACTTAAAGTCAAGGGCTGAGTTACAGGGGTAAGATTAGGCAGAAATCCATTTTATCTCACAAATCCCACAAAAAATGCAAAAATTTACGGGTTAAATGACAAAAATGCAAAATTTAGGGCCGATCTAGACAATTTGTCACAAATCTCAAAAGACTCCAAATTGAAGGGTTTAATTTAGGGGGTAGGGGTTGACTGATTGTTGAATTTGATCAAACATGGGGTTAAAATTTGGCATTAATTAGGAAGGAAGGAAGTGGAAACAATTAGTAAGTCTAGAGTAGGGGTATATAATAATAAGTAAAAAGGAGTGAAGAAGTTGACAAGCTGTCAGAAAGGGGCTGCCTGGAGGGTTAACCCTCCACTTCTATAATAATTGCCACATGGTTGACTGAGGGTTAATAAGGGCCAGGCTACAAACAACCCTTAAAACCTTTTTAAACAGTCAATTCAGCTGATTGGGATGCACAATAGAAACAAGTTGTTTTCAGCCCCCTTTTTGACATCAGACGCCTTCAAAAATCCACACCCTCCCCTCTCATCTTTTTTTTTCTTATGGCATCATCAACCCAAATTAGGGCAGGCTACAAACAACCCTTTTGAAACAGTTCAACCACCCCTCCCTCCCCTCTCGTTTAATAGTTCTTAGGACCCATTCCTCTTGAAAAAAAGTCTGCAAAAAGCTTAGAAATATTATCTTGGGCTTCAGGGAAAATCTCATGTTGTCCAAGTTGAAAGAAAAGTGCCTTAAACACTACAAAATTGCTAAGCAAAGCCAGCTTTGTGTAACAGTCCTAAATCTACAACAGACAAATTCATATCAATTGAGTGTCCATGGTGTGTGAACATATTTAAAAGAGGTTTAAACTTGGATAAAATTGCCTAAAGAACAAACATGTTTGGATGATCTGTAAACAAGCCCAGGGCATGTTTTATTGAGATGTAGCTTTGACATGTGTTGTAAGAAAAATAACAACAGCTTTTGTTTGCATCTTATCTCTAAATAAAGCCCTTTTTTCTCTCCAGCTACCATTTTGTTTTTATCTTAAGTAGTCTAGTTGACACCTGTGTTCAAACTCAACTTGTGTGAGCTCAAAAGACAAAAAAATCTCCATTGATGTGCCTGTCATAATCAGACTAATTAATGAAATTTGTTAACAATTTTGATCTGAGAGAATGTCACTGGGTTTGACTTTACTTTCAGTTTATCATCAAGCAATTTAATGATACATTTTCTTCTCCTTCAGGATTTTGGATCTTGAGTGACTCCTGCTAAATTTGCCCTCAACTTTGCTTTGCTTTTGGGAAATCAAAATAGCGAATTAATGCTGTTTTATAAGGACGCTTTTTCTTCCTTTAACATTTGGATCTTGGATTGGGTATGCCAACTTTGCTCCACTCACGCCACAAACCAAAATTTCAAATACCAAACTAATGCTGTTTTTTGTTCATTGAAAATTTCTCGTCTTTAATGATTTCGAATCTGGAATGCTGTCAATCAATTTTGCTCCACCCACACCATAAACTTAAATACATGCTGTTAATAACAAAATCATATTCTATTTGATTTTCGCAAATATTTGAATTCACACAGTTGAAAAAAACGTAGGAGGTAAAAGTAAAAAATTCCAAATAAAATTTAAAAAAATATATTTTGTTCAACTTCCTTGTGGAAAAAAACCCCAAATTTACCCCTAAATCAACAATTTATGACATTTAAAAAGAATTTGACCAGAGGGGGATAAGACAAGGTGATAGCATTGGTCCTTAATGATTTATTTTGACAATGCATGTAATAAGTTAATCAAACTTTCTTCCTGTCTGGTTAAACACCTCTAGGGGGTTCACATGATTATAGGGATAGATCAATTTGAAAAGGGTGCAGTCAGGAAGTCAAGGTGATCAAGCTAATCCCACTAATTACCCAGACTTCCTCATTCAAAATAAATTGACTGAACACAAAATATCTTTATTTTGGATTATGGCATGCAAATTGTAGGCATTCCTACTTGTTGACTGGTTGAATGCAATTGATTGAAATTTTTTTGTTATTTCCCTTTTCATTGTTTAAAGCAGTTGACTGAACACAAATGTACCTTCATTAATTGATAAATAAGACAATTTTATAGATAGATACTTCTGGTTTATTTATTACTTCAATGTTTCAATGTGGTTCTCACACGTCATCAGGAATATAATGTATTATAAATATTTCATTAATTGGTTAATGTTTTGGATTTTGACCAGAAATCAAACTTTTTCATCTTTCTTAAGTTAAGTGCAAATGACTGAAAAAATATTCTTATTCATATCTTTAGCTTTGATATATATCATTGTATGGAATGGTGCTGTTATAAAGCCAGATGTTAAGATTATACAATAATTAAGATATTAATAATAACAGATGAAATTATAGTTATATAATAATATTAGTATCATCTATAATAACATGTCAGATACACAAAATATCCATCTACAACTCTCAGACTACTAGTAAACCAAACCAATAATTTGTTCAAGAGACTGTCTTATCTATTGGTATTTCTATGAAACATTAAGTGCGGGGGGTGGGGGGAAGGGGGGCCAGTAAGGGGCAAAATGGTCAGTAGAAATTATTTCCCAAAGTAAAATGTCAAAAAAAAACAGAACTAGTTCAAATGCCACTGGTGCCTGCTTCTTCAAAACAGGAAAAGTCACATTTGTCTCCCAATGGTTTATCATTTTATTTCATTCATATTGTCCCCCCTTATTTTTTGGGGGGAGGGGGATGGGTCAGTAGGAGTAATCCTTGTGTTATAAGCCTCACTTTCAATTTTTCTTTACCTTCAGACTTAGATCTTTAACTTATATCTCTGATATAAATAGTACAAAATATACCCTTTCTATTGATGCATACTTTCTCTTAATTGAGTTTCTCCACGATGAAATCCTTTTTGGTCTCAATTGTTCTTTTGACAAGTAGTTCTCAAGACAAAAAGCCTGCCCTGCAAGTATATAGCTCAATAGATAAAATGGATCCACAATTACATACCTTAATGATATTCTGTAAGACATGTGCTTTAATAACAGAGCTATGATTGGCTGAGGTTGAATACAGATCAACTACCATCTCAATAGTTCTCTCACTAAACGGGACGAAATTCATCGTTACCCAATCAACCTGTAAGAGAAAAATACAAAATAATAATAAACAATAATTACGTGCTATCAATAAGAAGCCCTTTTTATGTCCCACAATAAATATCTAGACAATAAGCTATATTTGTATGTTCAAAAACCCTTGCTGTGCACAAAAGAATCAGCATGTCCTAAACATTGGCGTAGTAGTATTGGAATAGCGAAGTTTGTAGTGAGTTGGATTGTCGTCTGCAAGGCGATTTTTTTCAGAAGGTTCAAATTCTTCTCAAGGTATGAAAAACTGATGCCACCGCCAGTGCTTTCAAACGTCAACAAAATCTTGGCTTTTATCCCATATCTGATAAGAATGTTTTGAGAGCACAGAGTGTTGGCTTCAATCAATGGCCAACCAGACGACAATCCGACTCTCTACTGACTGAGCTATTGATTTGCTACAATGACAGCCAAAGAAGCTGAAACTAACTTACCTGTGGACCTTTAACAGTACCAAATACTTTGGTTTCTAGGTGACCATATTTGGGAGCCTGGACACCAAATTTACTATAGGTTAATAATTGATCAAATATATGGGGATACATCAAATTCATAGATTCTTCACCTTCTCTCAGAGCCTGGAATGATAGAAAATATATTTGAATATCAAGGGCAATAACTCATGAATATAAACAGGTAAAAAGATTCCTCATCTAGTCTTTAAAATGAAAAAGAAATTATTGTCAAGGGCAATAACTCATGAGGATAAACAAGCAAAACGATTCCTCATCTAGTCTTGAAAAAGAAAATGAAATTTATTGTTAAGGGCAATAACTCCTAAATTCATAGATTCCTCGCCTGAAATAAAACTTCAGGCATCAAGCATTTTTCTATTCAAGGGAGACAAATCTATTTAATGTCAACTTCAAATTGCTAATGGACTTAAAAATATGTATGTTCTTGTCTCAATCCCCCCGAAAAACCCTTTCCTCAAATGTACCCACCTGAATAAGGACCTCCATAGCTTGTAGGGTAGCATCTTGTAGGGGTGTTATAGTAACTTCAGGGAACGTAGGTATAATGAAGGGGGAGGCATCACCATGGACTGGTACAGACAGTGAACTAAATAACACATTGGATAATTTTGTAAGATCTGCTGCCACAAAACGTGGCTTTATGTGTTGGAACAACGAGGGAAAAGTTTGAATAAGGGCGGTTAAAAAGTTCTGAGATGGTACGTAGACTTTGTTCGAATCATTTGGTGGCTTCGTCGCATTTGTTCCTATATTTAACCACACTTTCCAAGCCATAGACCATAATGCAATATCCACATCTGAGACTTCCTGTTTTGGTGTAGGTTTTGTTGTAGCTGATTTGATTGTCTCCCCTGTTCTGTTGATCTCTTCACCAGATGGTGCTTCCAGATAAATCTTAGGATCGTCTGATTTTGATTCTCGACTGATTTGTAAAATTTCTTGAAAACTTTTCAGAGCAGCGAGAGAGACTTCGGCACTGAGGCATAATGCTGAGTTTTCTATATGTTCTAATAATAATGACCACGCTCTGGGAAAGTCACCTGAAATTTAGAGAAGAAATATTGTGAATTATTATAACATGGGTGCCAAGTGTTGCAATTTGTGCATGAATCATTTTTCAAGAATAAGAAAATCTGACGCTCGACAGCTAGGGTTAAACAACTGTAGCCTTCCAACCCCTAGGCCAATTCTTGACCCTTGAACTGTGAAAATTTTTTTTTACTTAAAGTTGAAGTAGAATAGATTTTGGGAATCCTGTTCACCTATCTTTTTTAATTTGCTGAGATTTGGGAGGTTTCAATACATTAAGTGATGGGGAAATTCCCTAAAACTGGGATGGAGGGGAATTCGGAGAGGCTCTTTGAAAGTATCCACATCTTAAACTCATAAAAGAAATCTCACCTATTTGCTGTAGTATTTTGCGTTTAGAATTGAAGGTACGAGCTACACCAGCAAGGGAGAGAACTCTTGTTTCTGCCCATTGTTTCTCAGCTGTGTCTCGAGAATGGTGTATCAGAATATTACCAGTTGTCTGTTCATCTTTAGTGGAGGAGGCACTGCTAGATAACGATTGAACATTCTCCAGTAAGGGAAACAGCACCTGAAACAAAATACAGCAAAATTAATAATTAATTGCCTAAATCTGGAAATAAAGTTCATAAACCTAAGAATTGTTCCGCACAAAAACCAAGAAAAAGCAGAAGTAGGTGTGACAATAACCTATACATAAACATTTGGAACATATTTTACAATCCAAGCTTTCTACCTCAATCATGGCTCTGCAACATTTGGCAACACCAACAAAACTGTCCCTTAAGTTTGAGAGTAACACTGTTAAATTTCTCTCACACTTCAGAATCATGAAAGCACTGACTTTTGAATAGAGTAATAGTAAGTCTGCCCTTGGGTCAGCTCTGCATTTTTTGACAAATTCATGAACAACTTACCTGCCAAAGAACTTTAGACCATGTTGATTTTTGAAGCAGACTACCATGAGCTGAGATGGTGGAGAAAAGCGTCTGCCCGGCACTTTTTCTCACTGCTGGCCGAGAATCGACGCACAGTTCTCCCAATTTGGAAAACAGACACATCCATAATGCATCAAATGGTTTGAGATTGCTTTTACTTCCGTCATTTTCAGCCTGGGATTTTTCCAATTCTTCGGAAATCTTTTGTCGATTTTGGTAGAAGAAATCAGAGATATTCCACTGGAAAAGAAAGGCATTACAAATTATTATAGTTGAGTTATTTCCCTTGGTTGAGGAGGGGATTAAGCACAGTCGCTTAGAGTGTTTGTGATGTCATACAAATGGTGGTTAAGGGTTCTTATCCTGGTTGTCATGTGATAGTTATCCTTAATGTGCTACCTACATCTAACTTAGCAACCAGGATAAATATTGAGGCGACTTCTTCCGATTCATATTCAAGTGATATTTCTTTAATCTGTACGGTCAAAAGGTAAAATAATCCTTACTTTACACAAAGAAACCATTAAATATCTGAAACTTACCAACAAGCCAATTGCTGTTAAACTGACATTCAATTCTTTATTCTGTAGTCCAAATCTTCCAGCCACCTCTACACAGACTTGTTGATATATGCTTGGAATTATGGGAAGGAAGTCAGTGACTACTACTTGTAGTGACTGGAACGCCGTCTGCACCAATTTTTCTCTGGAAAAAAACAAACCAGAAATGAAAAGAATGAAATTTTACAACCTACACTCAATAGATGAACAATTCTTTTATGAAAGCTTGTTTTCAGGGAAGGAAAGGTTGATTCTCCCAAATGTACAGGCCTAAGATGGAACAAATACTACAAGTGAGGTTAATAAACAGCTGTGGTCTGTACTCCTTTAAAATGAGTTACCTCCCTTTAATAGTCTTTTTTAACTGACCCTTCAAATCACATGAAGAGCCATTTCTAAACCTTTAAATGTAATTTGAAAGCTTAGTTAAAATATTATAACCTTTATCAAAAATCGACATAATAGATTGAGGAAAAAATTCAAAATGGTTAGGCTAGGTGTGTGTTATTTCCAAGTAAAAAACATTACATAGTTTCGCAAGAACTACAGACATCTGATTGAAAATTGGAATGGTGCAAATTGATGCTATCAGTGTCCTCAAAACACATAAAAATTTAAGAAAACCTTTCGTTTAAGTGTCGCAAAAGATATATATGAATACACATGTGACATGAAATATAGTTATTGACAAAAACTTCGCCAGAAAAAAACAAGGGAGAAGCGATACAAGTGTCATATTTCTGAGGTAATTACATTCGGAACAGACGATAATATCCTGTTGATGACATATTCAAATAACTTGCGAACGTTCACGCAATCTTTTTTTCATCCTTCCGTTATATTTATTGATAGCTTCGCTTTCCATTTCTTTCCATTTCCAATACATTCTATAATATTTTTTACAAGGTTTCTAAATTTCCTTTTTGAATCCTTTATGCTATCTTTTGCACGAGATTTTAAATTTTTGAAATTTCATTTTGATTCTTGTCAGAAGAATTTTAAAATCTAAATTTATTTTTGATTGTCTTTTCTATTCTATTTTAAGTTTTGTTTTTTCTTTTAACAGGATTTGTAAATTCCATTGACACTTTCAAATTTGAAAATTACTTTTAGTTTAACAAATCTCAGACACAAATAAGCAGAAGTAATATAGATGTTGCCTGTGGAAAATTTTCTGTTGTAATGTTTTAAACAAAGGAATAATATAACTGATAAAGACTGATTAAGGTTTGGTCACATGATATAAAAGAATTGATATATATTTAATTAACAGTCAATAACTAGTCAAAGCTTAAAGGTAATTAAAGTGTCCACAAAACTTGAACGTTAGTGAACACGGCTTTATTAACCCTTTGCCAGTGTTTTCTGTTGAATAGTCAATGTTAAAGATCTGAGTTGAATTATATTCAATTACTAATAATTATTAATAATCAAAGGTAATTAAAGTGTTCACTATAGATAGAAACCTGAACACTGCATTTTAACCTTTTGCCAGTGTTTTCTGTTGAATAGTCAATGTTAAAGGTCTGAGTTGAATTATATTCAATTAATAATCAAAATCTATAAGAAAAAATGTTCACTATAAGGATAGTAACTTTAATAGTAGTGAACTTTGCTTTAAGCCTTTGCCAGTGTCTTCTAATGTAAAGTAACATTGATGAACACTTCTTTAAACCTTTGTCAGTTACCTTCCCATATGTAAGATCTGAGTTGAATTATAGTCAATTACTTGTCAAAAGATATAGACCAAATTCACGCCTGCTTCAAATTTCACAAATTACATATTATGAATTTTAAACATTTCTGCCACAAAACATGTGTCAGAGGGCACCAAATCAATTTTATTTTTAAAAAGAACCCCTTCAGATGCTCAAATGGAGGCTTCCATAGAGCTGCCGCATTTTTTAATCTCAACCTTGTCCACATTAAGTCAGTCTATCATCTATTTGTACCTCTCAAGAGACTGGTGTTTTCTCTGTTCACAACTCAAAATGTTTTGAATTGTCTTCGAATGTGTACAATTCTCTTCGATTGGTACACATCAATTGTTTTGAGTTCACTTTTATGCATCAAGTATTTTGAGTTTGCATTTACCAAATCAAACATGGCAACCAAGGTTTTTGACATTTAAAGAATTATGGAATCAGACGACAGCCCGCTTGAAAATATCACAGTATTACATTATTTGTAGGGTATCAAATAATCACATGGATTAGTTGTGGAATTAGGAAAGGCTTTGGACAGGATTAGTAAGAGATTTCAACAACCTCTGTCTGTTTTTTCTCAAGAGACTTTGCTTATATATGGTTTCCTGTTTACCTTAAAGAGGCACAGCCTTTTTTTTCCTCAAAAGATGCAAAGGAAATGTGCTGCTTAACTTTTATGTTTTTTGGTGGTTTTTTTTTAAGCATATGGGGTTAAAGCAGAATTGATGCAATGATATGGTTTTCTCTTTACTTAAAGAGGCAGACCCCTTTATTTCAGAAAAAGATTTAAAGGAAATGTACTACTTTTGTTTATTACAGACCTATATAAAATTGACTTTAATTTTAAGATTCCCAGGTTAGCGTAGGAAGCAAAATAACAGAGTTATTCCCAGACTGAAGAGTTACCTACCCCTGATTGTCATTAACAGCACCAATGACCCCTAAAATCAGAGGCCAGCCATGTAGAAGTTGATCACCGTTATTATGTAAGATCTGTAAGACACATTCTAGTTGTTTCTGCCGAATGTCTGAATAGTTAGTGGATGAGATTTCTTGTATAGGTTGTAGTATGGTCTTCTGTAATTTCTGGAATGAAATAGACTTTTACATCCAACAAAGTGGCGGAGCCAGGTTAACATCCAAGGGGGGAGCGATTGCCCGAATTTCTAATTTAGTTACAAGATTTTTGCCCGAAAAACTTGCCCCCTCTGCACCCCCTTTAGCTCCGCCACTGATCCAAGATGACTGTTACATGAGAACAATTTTATCCAGACAGTAATAAAACTTGAATTAAGTTTGAAAGCTTTAATTGTCTTTTGTAGTTTCTGGATTATACTGGAATTTTACATCCAACTTTTCTGCTTCAAATTGGGCAACAGTTGACACTATGCAGTGTAAATGAGAACATTCTGCCAGAGTAGCCACAGTGGCAGCTATCATTGGAATGGTGAAATATCCTCATGATAGTAAACTTACCAGGTTTTCGTTGAGTGGGGTATCAAATTTATAACCTAATGCTGCCTTTACTAAAGATGTAACTGCTTCAGCTCCCCAGCTTCTCATACCTGCGTAAGGATGTTGACAAACCTGAAATCAGAAAATAAGGTTAATAAAAATCATGGTTGGTTAACAATTTGAACCTTTGACAGCATTTTGACCCAAAAATGGATTTTGGTACCACAGGTAGCTACCTGTGATATTTTACCAATTTTCACTATTTTGAAAAATTCAAACTTGGCATCTTCACCACGGTCAAACCAGTTGAGATAGGATGATGAAATTTACACAGCAACCAGATTGAAATCTTAGCTTTCCAATGCCACAAACTGCGATTTGTACCCTTGACAACAACAGATCTATGATCATCGAACTACAGAGAACAACAGACGGTAAGAAGGGGAGGACATAATGCAAGCTTGAGATTTATATTTACAAGAATATAGTTTTTGATAAGCAATGGTTAACAATTTGTACCCTTGACAACAGCAGGTCTATGATCATCGAACTACAGAAAACAACAGTTATAAGATTACCAGATTTACTGGAGGTGTAAGAAATGAAATGAATGGAGTTTTACATCCTGCTTTGTCCCACGAAGTAGGGGAAAGCATTACCGGTTATGCATGGTGGCCCATTATTTTTGCAAAAATATGATAAAAACGAACATGACTGGTAAAAATTTAACCTTAACAACAACTGATGAAAATTAGGTGTGCAGCGGGACTTATGATCTGCATGTATTTGCCAGCAAGTCACGTCTAACACGTGGTGGCGCATTATTTTTGCAAAAATATGATAAAAACGAACATGATTGGTAAAAATTTGACTGATCTAAATTAGGTGTACAGCAGGACTGTTGATCTGTGTGTATTTGCCAGCCAGTCATGTCTAACTGGTTCTTAAAATTGACACCAAAGTAAATTCGACCAATGATATTTTATACCAATTTTATTAACCAAGAAACTTTAGCCATACCTTGTTCTATATAGATGTGATATTATCTAATTTGTCGTAAGTTTTGGTGTAGACTATAAGAATCTATGAAAGCTGGACCAATAACGAATCTCTTAATGCATTCCCAGATACTCTTAGTACAATTAGAGCCATATTTCATAAGGCTAAATTGGAAGTTAATGAACTTTCAATAACCTTTATAATCTAACAACAAAAAGTTCATTTCAGTACAAATTTCTTAAAGAGAAAAACCTCCATTACTATATACGAAAACAAATGAGATTTCAGTTTCCTCTAAACAGAATGAAATCAACGCATTAGTTTCAAAGAAGTGATTCCAATCCCAACAATTGTTTGATTCAATAACTTTGTGTCGATTTAGGTAATCAAATTTAGGGTCAGACACTCTAATATTCGTAGGTCAATATTTGCCGAAGATTGGACCAAGCAAAATAATATTACGTTAACTTTAGGACAATTGCTTCGAAGTAGTTACCTTCAATGGCCATAATAAGCCAATAAATTTGGCGGGAATTTGGTCAGACTGACTAGGAAATGGTTTGTAGTTGAATACACTGATTGCTTTCAGACTGGACGTTATTACTCATGTTTAATGGATAGTCCTGACTTTCCAGTTCTGTATTATTTGATTTTCCAGTCCTTTTTCTAGATTAAGCTTTTAAACACTCATGCCTAGCAACCGCTCTTTATTCTTGGATGACTATGCCCTCTTGACCTCCTTGAGAAATATTTGACGTCCTTATTCCTGTCAAATTTTGATCAATTTCCTAAAAAAAAATTTCTTGAAGACTTTTTCATGTCTTTTTTAACTATATCCCAGAGAAGCAATTCTTATGTGATGCTATATTTATTGATTAACCTGTGTCAAATATGTTATCCCCCCTCTCTAAATTGAAAATGTTCAGTACCCCCTAAAACCTTGGGCATGCTACAGGCCTGATGACCTCAAAGACAAACTCGTACATCTACAATTGAACAATTATCTTCAAGTTGATAAATGCGTTCACCCCTTTAATTTAGAAACGTTGATCAAAAAGCTTAATATAAATACAGACTTCAATTAATTAGTCAAAGAATTAAAGTGGATGAACACACAATGGCACCAAACACAGGAGAAATAGAACCACCAGACCGAATCTTGCTGCCAGGAATCAGAGATCTTTAATCATAGACTTGTGACGATCTCATTTTTAAGTTTTGATTACAGAAGAATAGGGAATACTCAGACCAGATCTTTTTGCTTCTGGCCATAAAAACAAAAATCAGAAAAGAAAAAAGTTTGGACAAAGATTCCATTAAAACCAAATTTTGGCAAGATAAATGATACATCAAACTCTTAAAAAGGTACAAAACATTTGAAAAAAAAAAAAAAAAAAAGAAAAATTTGATAAAAAAATATATATTGCAAAGTTTTAAATAAAGATTTCAGAGTTTTCAAAAATCATATCAATAAAAATATTTTTCAAATTTTCGAGTGTTGTTTTTGAAGAAAAAATAAATTTAATAAAAATAATTTTCAAATTTTTGAAGAAACATTTTCAAGTGATAATAAAAATAAAATATTGTCAATAAAAATATTTGAAAAATTTCAAGTACACTCTCTTTAAATACGTCAATATCGTAAGTCAGACATTTTCTTGCGTAAACGAAGGAGAACAGGGGAGATAAAAAACAGAAGAAGAAAATAATCCCCAATGATCAGCAATGCCATAAAATGGCTATCACTGCGACGGTGTTGATTACTGCTCAGATTACAATTAATCAAGGAGGCCGTTTTCCATGTAATCTCTGTAGTCTTGTATTTCCAGACATCATAAAAACTATTAAAGTTCAACAGTGTACTTTTTGTAGTCTTTTACATCCAGATATGGCATTAATATAAAATTTAACAGTGTACTTTTTGTAGTCTTTTACATCCAGATATGGCATTAATATCAAATTTACCAACTAAAATTTATTGTCTTTTACATCCAGACATGATATTGAATATCAAAACTGCATAATCTTCGTAGCCTGATACTACCAGACAAGTCTAAAGGTCTTTGCTATAGCTACTTCATAAAATGCTTAGTATTAGCAGAATTGCAGGAACTGCAAGACTTCTTTGGAAAGGTGCAAATTGTTTCCCGTAGGAGAAATGCCTGAGGGCAGGCCAAAAATTAAAGGCCTGAAGGGTCAATGAATTTCAGAAAGCTTGAGATGAATTTTGAGGATTTGAGGGCTTAGTTTTCTCTTTTCACAAGCCTGAAGAGACGACCATGGCCGCTACTGGTTTCCTGGTTAAAATTGAGAAGCCTCTCTGTAATCCCGATTAGTATCGCATACCTCTAGTTTGTACATCAACAATTTTGCTTTTATCAATGAAAATGACGTGGATATTCTACACTACCAGTTATTTATAGATTTAACCTTATTTATCTTCACGTGAAGAGTTCTTGACAACAATTATCCAGTATTAACTCACAGCAAAATGACAGTTATCCCCCTTCTTCAAGTTCAACAAAAACATTTTTTCAGGAGAATTAAATTGATTTTATCATTATATGATATGAGTAAAGCACACTTCAATTATTCTGTACCATGAATAAGAGCTTTTATGCCATTTAAAGTGTTTTTATGTTTAGAAAAAGTTTTATAAGGAGATAATATTGATATAGGCGGAGCTTATAATGACGGCAAGCTGTCAAATCAAAATAAAAAATTTCTTTTTTTCTGGCCATCCGCGATCTGACTTGATTGTTACGCATCTCTGGTTCTGTATCCTATTCACTGAAAAGTGTTTTTATGTCAAAAAAAAGTTTTGTAAGGAGATAATATTGATATAGGCGGAGCTTATAATGATGGCAAGCTGTCAAATCAAAATAAAAGTTTTTTTTTCTGGCCAATTATGATCTCACAAGTTTGTTATGCATCTTTGGTTCGGGATCCTATCCACTGAAAAGTGTTTTTATGTTAAGAAAAAGGAGATAATATTGATATAGGCAGAGCCTAATATGACAGTAATTTGTCACGTCAAATCAAAAATAGTTTTTTCTGTTGTTGACTCAACTTGTCCACCATGATCTGACAAGTTTGTCATGTATCTCCTGTTCTGACTCTGTTTTCAGAACTCAGAACTACCATTCAATATATGTCATGTTGGATAAGCACCGAATCATACCTTTCCATATCCTTTCGTACAGAAAAATTGACAGAAAATATAAATTTGATGGAATACTTCCTCTGAACATGTTGACCTCAGCAAAACAAAACAAGAAATGAAGTTGAACGCCATAAACAACAAAATCAAAACAAAATTGCAGATCATTAAAAAAAAACAAACAGAAATCTACTTTCAATTTTATCAATTTGAATCACATTAATCATTATTAAACAAAAAAATAAATTTTAAAAAACTGAGTATAAATGTTACGTTACGGATTTAAGCGAAAAGGGATAAGAAAAGAAAATAGGAAATAAAATTTATAATGATGAATGACGTCTACATACATCCATTTTCTTTGACATCTTGGACAAATTTCAAATAGTTTTATATCTTTGGTAATAATGGTTTCAAATTTTACTCTATTCAAAAGTATCATTTCCGCCATTCCACGACGCTTTCTGATTTCGATTAAATAATTCGCAGACACGGAATAACGAACGAGAATTTCAATCTTCGAGATTTTATCATCATGAATAACGAGGCGTTTCCGACATAACACGACTTTTGTAAATCAAAATTGTTATTGATAAGCTCTTTTGAAATTTCACTACAATTTGGACCAAATTTAAGTGTCCATTTTATTCTAAATGGCTTGCTGCCATGATAACGTCATAGCAACCAAGTGCCAATCAACCATTTTTAACAAGGTTAACAACCTCGGTTCACGAGGGTACTTTCTACCAGCTTGTCCTTGACTGAACCTCTTGGCATGAACTTAGCTAAAATATTCCAGTTTCTGAAACTAAAAGTGCTGATCAAAAACTATTTTAATTGTAAGGAATTTTAAAGTTGAGACATTTCAGCTAAGAATGTTTGATTTTGAATTAAGTAGCTTGTTATCTTATCAGGGGGCTGTAATCTGATTAATTTTAAATTTAATTAACTCAAACTTTCAAATTAATTGGCTCTT